ACTTAATTAAAGAGTATGCGTTGAAAGAGATGATGTCAAATGAATGAAAAGAGAAGTCACAGACTGGGAGAAAATATTTGCAAAAGACAAATCTGATTTAAAAAAACTTTGATCCAAGATATGCAAAGAATTCTTAAAACTAAATAAGAAAATGAACAAGATTTTAAAATAGGCCAAATAGCTTCACAGATACTTAACTAAAGAACATACACAGATGGCAAATAAGCATATGAAAGTTACTCCACCATTTATCAACTGAGAAATGCAAATTAAAGCAATAATGAGATACCATTGCACACATATTAGAATGGCCAAAATCCTGATCACTGACATCACCAAATGCTGAAAATAATGTGGAGTGACAGAAGTACTCATTCATTGCTGGTAAGAATGTGAAATGGTACAGCCACTTTGGAAGACAGTTTGGCTATTTCTTATTAAATTAACATACTCTTACTATAAGATCCAATCATTGCAAGTCTTAGTATTTACCCAAAGCAGTTGAATACTTATTTTCACACACAACACTGCACATAACATATATCAAAGTTTTATTCATAATCACCAAAACCTGGGAGCAACCAACATGACCTTCAGCAAGTGAATGAATGAATACACTGCTACATCTGGACAACAGAATGGTACTCAATACTAAAAAAAATTAGCTATCATTGCAATGAAAGACATAGTGTAAACTTACATGCATATTACTAAGTGAAAGAATTCAATATGAAAGAATTCATACTACAGGATACCAACTGTATAAATTCCAGAAAACCTATGGAGACAATAAAAAGTTCAGTAGTTGCAGAGTTTTGGGTGGGAAAAAATAAAAAGGCAGAGCAGAGAGGATTTGCAGACAGTGAAACTCTTCTGTAGAACTTATGATGTATTCATGTCCTTACACTTTGTCCAAACCCACTGGATACACAACCCCAAGAATGAACCATAAGGTGAACTATGGACTTTGGGTAATTATGCTGTGTCAATGAAAGGAAAAGAAGGAACAGTGGTTACACAGAGGTGAAACACGAGTAATAAGGGTTGTCAGGAACACGTATAAAGGACATGTGGACAAAACCAAAGAGGGTTAGGACCAAGGGTGCAAAGTGGGGATGGCTGGAGTGAGGGGGAGTGGTGAGAGGAAAATGGAGACAACTGTACTTGAACAACAATAAAAAATGTGAAAAAATAAAACACAAAACAAAAATAAATAAAAAATAGTTTAAAAAATATCAGTTCTCTCATGAACTAACCAAGCTATGCTCCATGTGCCCCATGGTCCATAATCCAGGACCCTTTTCATTCAGCTTCAGCTTATTCTAATAAACAGGGACGAATGAAGTTTTAAGCAAATAATAGTAATGCATGCAAACTTGACTTGCAGTGCTGAACACACAATACCGAGTGCAGATGATGTGTTGTAGAATTGTGCACCTGAAACCTGTATAATTTTGTTAGCCAGAGTCACCCCAATAAATTCTATAAAAACTAAAAACATATTTTGCTTGCTTTTTGTTTTGTTATTTAGTTTCCTGTTAAAGGTGAGATCATATGGTATTTGTCTTTCACCACCTGGCTTCTTTCACTCAGCATAATGCTTTCAAGTTCCATCCATGATGTTGCAAAGGGTAGGAGCTCCTTCCCTTCTTTCTGTTGCATAGAATTCCATTATGTAAATGTACCATAGTTTTTGGATCCATTCATTTACTGATGGGCACCTAGGTTGCTTCCAACTCTTGGCTATTTTAAATTGTGCTGCTATGAACATTGGGGTGCAGAGGTTCTTTTGGATTGGTGTTTCAAGGTTCTTAGGATATACTGCTAGCAGTGGAATTGCTGGGTCAAAAGGCATATTTATTCTTAGTTTTCCAGACAGGGACTAGAGGGGAAAGGGGAGGGAATTTCAGGGGAAAAGGGGAAGGATTCACAGGAACAAGTATAAAGGATACATGGACAAAAACTAAGAGGGGTGAAAATGGGTGGGAGGTGAGGAGCACTGGGTGGGGGGGGTGGGCTGGGAAGGGGGTAAAAGACAGAAAACTGTACTTGGACAACAATTAAATAAAAAATATTTTAAAACATTAAAAAACTAAAAAATAAATACAGAATATTTAAAAGGGAAAATAAGTTTTTAATGTGAAGAAAAAATGTTATTGTGCTTCTCTACAATTTCTGCAAAGCAGTCATCATTATTCCTAGAATAATAAAAAACTACCTGATTTCCATTAACTGTGAATGGGCACAAAGAATCTTATTGGGTGATGAAAACGTTTTTAACCTAGATTGTGGTGATTATGCACAACTCAGTTAATTCACTAAAAATCATTGAGTAGTTCACTTAAAATTGCTGAAGTTCATGGTATACAAAGTATATCTAAACAAGGTTTTTTAAATTATCTCATTCTTCTTTATGGCGCTTCAGACACTCTTGTCCTCCCATAGAAAAAAGCCAAAATGCTTCTACAGAGTATAATTTTCAGAATATCATAGTTCATTCTTCCTGATGTGTCTTTAAAAATGTGGGATCTAAGATTAAACACATCATTTCCATTATGTTTTACTTGTACAGAATAATGGGTTTACTACTTAGCTATACTAGCTTATTTTATCATTACTATGCCTTATACTTGTTTAAACAATTATATCACAGTTTGATGATATCCTTATACTTGTTTAAACAATTATATCACAGTTTGATGATATTAAATATACAAGTGGGGCCAAAAAGAACACCTCATTTATTAAAATTGTGTATTTATTCTTATATTTTTAAACTTCAGTCACCTTCAAAGTACTCTCCATTTGATGCAGAACACCTACTGAGAATGTTTTCCACTGCTCAAAACGGTTTTTGAACTTGATTTTGATGCCTTTTAGGGCGTCTGCAGTGTTTTGTTTCATCTCTTCCACATCGGCAAAATGTTTCCCTTTGAGGACATTTTTCATCCAAGGAAACAAAAAAAAAAGTCATTCAGGGTGAGATCGGGTGAACAGGCAGGGTGTGGCATGGAGGTCATACCGATTTTGGTCAAGAACTGCTGAACACTCAGTGCCATGCTCATAAATCACCCATCATGAAATGGGCAAATGCACTGAAAGTCTTCAAAAAATTTTCACTACAGCCCAACACAGCCTCTCACAACACCAGCTGTTACTTGGACACAGGTGGGTTACTAGAATATCACCTGGCAGGGGAAGCCTGTACTACAAGAAGACAATTAGGAGGTTTTGGGGGGATCTCCCCTCATTAACTGAAATGAAATACCTAGACTTTTATACCAACTACAATCAAGTGCTGAGGAAATGTATTTTCACTCATATAGTACACAATATTTTTTCATTTTTTACTTAAAAATTAAAATATTTAAAAATTAGAGAAAAACAGAAAGAGGAAAACCCAATACCATACCTTTTAATATGGTATAATTACTTCCAGCATATTTTATATGAGCAATGTATTTATATTAGGCAAAAAATAAAATTCATTGTATGGTTACCCTTCCCATGTCCAAGAAACACTGTGTTTAATACTCTAAATGATGCCCTCTATTATATCACCCTTTCTAGTTCCCTCACAGTTCTTATCACTATCTAAAATTTTCTTGTTTAATTTTTTATTGTTTAATTTAGCTCTAGCATGTATAGTTCCTGAGCATATAGGCTATCGATGTCTCTTCTCTTGAGATCTCATCTAATTCCACAGTTTAAAATGAACTCCATCTGCATGTCGACAACTCCCAAAATCGTATCTCTAGCCCAGACATCTCTCATGAACTCCAGACTCCTATGTATAATGCACACACACACAATTCCATTACACATGCACTTTATACAACTACATGTTTCTTCTGTACATCCAAAACAAAAGCTTAAAATGGATGTTCCCTACCACCCTACCAACATTCCCCATATATCCATATTCCCATTTCAATTGATGGTCATTCTATCACTCAGGCACCCTTGACTCTTCTTTCTGTAACATTCCACAGCTTATTCCATGAGCAAATTATATTGATGTGCCCTCAAAATATTTTCAAAATATCTTTAACAAACTTTTCACCATCCTCACTGTTACCATCCTGTCCAAGACTTTACCAAGTCTTACCTGTATTACTGTAGTAGCCAACAAACAAAAAAACAAGTCTGCTTCCTTCTATCCTTACTCCACCATCCATTACAGTTTATTTTCATCTGATTGAATGATTTGTTTAACATAAGGCAAGTCACATCAAAACATTGTCATGCCTGTTTCACTCAGTTAAAATCAAAATATTTTCTTTGGGACTGTCGCCTCACTGACCTTCTCTTTCCCTATTGCTCACTCTTACCTCACTCAAATCTACTGTATTTTCTAAATGTTCTTAATAAGAATGTATTGTTTTTTATTAACAACAATTTTAAAAACCTTTTAATATGAAAGAGTAATCTCCCTTTTACCCAAACACTTTTTCTGTAAGTATAGAATTAAATAACAGGGTCTTTAGAATAAAAATATAAGTCCATGGCAAGATCTTGCAAGGACTTGAATGCCTATGTTCTTGATAAAGAGTTTAATAAAGACAGGTTTCAAAAATAAATCAAACTGCACGGTGTGGTAGAATGATTTCTGTATTTGGGAATCAATACCTTCCAAAAGGAAGGTATTCAACTCAACTGGTAGTCAGTTGAGTTATCAACCCAAAACGGAGAGGGGTGCAAAGACTCACTCTCCAGGAACTTGCAAAAGCTAAAAAGCTACAAATCTAAGGTCCCTGAAGAAAATACAGATTTTAAATGTTCAGACTGTGCATCGGAACCTGGGATTGGAGTAGAAGGCGTTAGATTACGACCAGAGGAGGAATTAACTGTCAAGATGTTCTTGGGAACGTATCCTGGCTAAACAAACACGAGTCAGAAAAGACAAATCGCCACAAAGCTGGAAGCGAAGTTGTAGTTTCGTTGTGTTCTCCTTAACGATTCAGTTGTAGCAATTTTGTCGCCCAATCTGTCCCACTCACCAGGTTAACCGAGCTGCAAGGTCTTGTGAGTTGTGAACAAGTGGCCAGACCCTGCACAATCTGACAAATAGCTATGTAGCCATTTGCTCCAGAGGCCGTTGCTTTGGAAGCAAGAGCAAAGCTCCGGAATCACCGGAGACTGTTTCTCTGGGGTTGGCCAGCCCTTTGGGGGCGTGGTTAGGTAGTGACGTATGTACGGGGAGGGACAGGGGAAACTGTACCAATACAAGGACTTGGTTCCAGGGCTCATGCGTAATGTGCGTTACTGCAGGATACCTGGAAGTGTAAATCGGGCCGCGGAAAAAGGTGGGGATATGGCAGCTGTAAATGCCCCTCGGGGCGTATCTCTGCGAGAAGCCACCCAGCGAAGGTTGCGGAGGTTTTCAGACCTGAGAGGTACCCCAGTTCTCCCTGGCGTTAGAAAGGCAGCGTCCTCCTCTATGTGCTGGGAAGTTTGCAGGACTCTCACTTCTGGCTGGTTTTCTCTCACCTGTGCACCTTGAATTTCTTATTCTTTTCTGCCACTGTTACTTTATTATTGTTACTTTCTTTAACTTTATTCTTAGTAAAATAGAAACATATAAAATAAGGTAAGATGGAAGAAAAGAAAGTTGTTAACGTGAAGCTATAAATACGTTATGCATTTGGTTTAGCTCATTAACAAAAGTTATTTTAAATAATCCTGAAAAACCTCTCTAAAGCATAGTGTTTTGACCTTACAAATGTGGTTTTAGCTTTCTCCCACCCCCCTTCCACGTACTTTACGAATTGTTCCATGCTTCCTGAGTAAAAACCAAAACATGGAAGAACTATGGATTAAAAATTAAAAGGGGGTTATATCAAAAATTTGTTTTAAAAGGGTTATGCCATTTGTCATTCCTTATACAACTATGTAATAAAACTGGTTATATTTTTTTTATGAAGCTACAGCTCTAAGTACAGTAAATAGTAAGAAAACAGTGAAATGTTCAAGATTATTACATTCTGGATGACAAGTCCTATTAGGTAACTACTATAAACAATTTTCATCTTGTTTACTAATTAAAAAGAGCTTCCACCTGTCTCCCAACGGTTCAGTCTGCCTTTTAATGAGTTTACCTGGGAGTTTGGAACTTTTCTTTTTATCCCAAATTTTGTGTCACATTCCAATAGCCTTTGTAAAATTGCATGGCTAGTTTAAGGTAATAAAAAAATTAAGTACCCACATTTATAAACAGCAGCACTGAAGTAATGGATTCTTGGGTTGAATCTTTTTTAGTAAAGAAACACTAAATAGTTTTAATATACGACAATTATTTTAAAAGCTGGAGATTCATTTATTACTTAAGAATTGAGATAACCTTTAGCAAATCAAAAGTACTTCACTTAATAGGGAAACACCACAAGTTTCAGAATATTTAAATAAATGGGTCTGTAGACCATAAAACAAGAAAGTAATCCAAAAGAGAAAAAAACATAGAATTTGTGAACGGTCCTCATTAGAACTATTTTGAATCACACTAACTGGCTCCTAATTATTCCCTAACTCTCAAAAACAGAAGATACAGTTAATGAAGATGATAATCTTTTTTTCCACCTCTTTCTAAATAAGTAAACCTGTAACAAAATTCTGATAATATTTATAATTTCCTTGTTTCTTTTTAATTTTTTTTCCATATAGGCAAACCTGTGGCAGCTGGAGAATTCTGGGACATTGTTGCAATAACAGCAGCTGATAAAAAGCAGGAGTTTGCTTATAAGCAACAGCTGTCAGAGAAGCTTAAAAAAAAGGAATTACCCCTTGGAGTTCAATACCATGTTTTTGTTGATCCTGCTGGAGCCAAAATTGGTACACATTTATGGTTGGATATATATTATAGGTTCTGGGAAGAATAATCATTGAAGAAAAGTTGTCCTGTGACATGCAGTTTATAAGCTACATATCTTTCCACCATAGTCTTTGCAAACTAAAATTTTTACATAAATTCACTAGTTTTTGAAAAATGATAAAAGGCATAGCAACTTATTTACATGTAGTGACTTACCATGAAAAACTTTCAGAGTGTTATGTTACTAAAAAGAGAATTGTGTCAGTTTTAATAAAATTTACTCAGATGGTGAATAATCCTTTGGACCTTATCAGTCAGGCTGTTCATTTTCTTCAGGATTAGGAGATCAAATCAAGAAAAAAGTAGTATGTACTTTTGGATTTGGGACCACAATGCAGAATATGAAAAAGCATAGTCTTATGGCTTGAGTATCATATTTACTTTAAAAATTCAATTTAAGTAAAGTTTTCATTTTGTTCTTCCATTGCAAAAAAATACATGCTATTTTTGTAGGGGCCATTTTCCATGTACTGCTAAAGCTGAAGCCCCTTGATACCAGACATAGGGTATCTCTATCTGACCTTGGCATTGTTTCTCACCCCTCAGAGCTAGCATTCAACACTGATTTGCCTTGTATAGGTTAGAGTCTGAGGCACAAAAAATAACTGGCCCAAGGTAACCAGTAAGTGACAGTTAAATTTAAGATATTTTTAGGGTACCAGATTCTAAAACACTTTCTAAAAAGGTTATTTGGCTTTCATACTTGACTGTCATATGGGAGAATTATTCATATAGGTTTTCCAATTTATAATTTCAAGTGAGTTATATACTTAAAAGTTTTCTAGTGTTACGGATTGCCTACTTTATCATTTCTTCATTTTGTATTATTTGGGAGAAAATTAGCTCTTTTTACGAGGGTTGATATCTGGTTTTTATTACTAATTGTTCATTTATTTAATTGATATGAAATGTGTATTTAAGTTGATTCTTTTGCCTGTATTTTTGTGCTCTGCTGAATTAATTATAGCCAATAAGCCAAATCCTCAAATTTATCATAATCACAAAATTTTAATAGGTTTCTGTGAAATAATATGTGCATCTTCACTTTATTTTTAAGGAAATGGAGGGTCAACATTTTGTGTCCTTCGATGTTTGGAAAAGCTATATGGAGATAAATGGGATTCTTTTACCATCCTATTAATTCACTCTGGTAAAGTTATACTTTACTAATTTACAGTTTCTTTTAAATATTTTACCTTTGAAATCTTAGGAACCTTTTTCTCTCTTGCAACCACTTTCTCCCTTTTTTTTTTTTGTCTTTGAAGTTACTCTGCTTTGAAAACACACTTCATGTTTTTCTTGATATTTTTAGCTTGTAAGTAGCATAATGCTTTTCACAATTTTCTTGATATTTGTTGTATGTAGATCACATACAATGATGATTTATGCTTATTGTTTTCAGTATGTATATACACAGTTATTTTCCAAAGGCTGAACTTATCAAAATGTGAACGTTTTTCAGTAATTCTTTAGCAGGGATTCATGCTGTAGGGCAGAGGCTACTTTAGCACTGTGATCAACACACTATTGCCAAACCTGCATGTCACGCATTTTTATTTGAATATTGGTGGACAAAGTCTACAATTCTTAAAGGAATCAAAAGGAAAAAAAGGTAGTGACAAAACATAGAACTGACAAGAAAATGTATGAGGGAGAAATTACACATAAAAGAGACATTTTAAAGTAGGAAAGAAATAATTGCAGAACAAAGGATAGTTTTCTTTTGATTGGTTAAATTGATTTGTTATAAAGATTTGGGGAGCGTGACCACCTCTGTTATTTTCTCTGTGAAGTGGGCTAATGAACACTCGGTCATGGACTGCCACCATGATTTGCAATGTGTTTCCATTTCTCCAGACCCGTACACAGAACAGAGTTTTTTGTAACAATGATATCAACTAAAGCATCCAAGCTCAGGTTTTAAGGCTGACAAAAACTTTATAAAATGATATTTATAGTCCTATTCTAGAACAAGCATTATTATTACCATTTTACTAAAAGTTAAATTGGATACCAGAAAACATATGTTAATTCTTATAGTGCTAAACTTTACTATTGGCTAGTGTTTGGAAAAGGACAAAGTGGGAAGTATTAGCTCTCAGTTGTTGAACAAACTATGTGCCAAGTGCTTTACATGTATAATCGATCTCATACAACGTGACAAGACAAGTATTACCCTACATTTGCTGATTTGGAGTGAATCCAAAGATAAACAACTAAAAAGTTGTGAACCTGAGTTTCAACCCAGTATTGCCTGACTCTAGTATGTAAGACAGCCTCTCGCTATAATTACTTAACATAAAAATGATGTAACCTATTTAGTTTACTTAAGAAAACACACTTTTCGAGGAATTAAGAACTCATAAGGCTCATCTTAGAAGGAAAACCTGTTTAAATTAAAGACAAGTATAAGTTTTAAAACACTTTTACATAAAAGCACTTTGGCTTTAAGTGTATGTAATAAAGGAAAGACATTGCTTTTGGAAATTAATGTTTATTAGATAATGTTGGAAGTGGTACCTGTTTTTACTCTGTGGATTGGATTCTTATTACATGAACTTAAATAGGTTGAAATTTATTATTTAAAATATAGATATGAGGTCATATTTTAGCCCATAATCCATTTTATTAGCTATACAGTGGATTCTAAACAATTCACATGCTCTAACATATATGAGAGTTCTTTTCTAATCTAGAGTTTTTAAAACTACAGTATGTACAAGGGCTACAGGATAATTTCTCTTTGGATTTGTATTCTGGAATTTTTTATCCTTTCCTGAGTTATAGTGATGTGTTGTACATATTAAATATTTTAGAGCCATTTTGAGTTGCTGCTGATGCTCCTGAGTTTTTAAAGTCTTGTAAACAGTCATATAAATATATTTAAACAGTTATTTTGTTTAATTTTATAGGTGGCTACAGTCAACGCCTTCCAAATGCAAGTGCTCTGGGGAAAATTTTCACTGCTTTACCTTTTGGTAAACCTATTTATCAGATGTTAGAATTAAAACTAGCCATGTACATTGATTTCCCCTCACATATGAATCCTGGGATTCTGGTTACCTGTGCAGATGATATTGAACTGTATAGTATCGGAGAATCTGAGTTTATCAGATTTGACAAGCCTGGCTTTACTGCTTTAGCTCATCCTTCTAGTTTGACTGTAGGTACCACGCATGGAGTGTTTGTCTTAGAACCTTCTAATTGTTTAGAATACAAAGACCTTGAATACAGATGTTGCCATCGTTTCCTTCATAAGCCCAGCATAGAAAAGATGCATCAGTTTGATGCTGTGTATAGACATGGAAGTTTTTTACAGCGGGACTTTTCTGGAGGTGACAGTCCCTCTCTTAAATTAGAATCTGAGTATGTATATACAGACAGCCTATTTTACATGGATCACACATCAGCAAGAAAGTTGCTTGCTTTTTATGAAGAAATAGGCACACTGAACTGTGAAATAGATGCCTATGGAGATTTTCTACAGGCTTTGGGATCTGGAGCAACTGCGGAGTATACTACAAACACATCAAATGTTACTAAAGAAGCATCAGAGTTGGTAGACGTGAGGCAGAGAATATTTCATCTTCTTAAAGGGACATCACTAAATGTTGTTGTTCTTAATAACTCCAGATTTTATCACATTGGAACAACTGAAGAATATTTGTTTCACTTTACTTCACATAGCAGTTTGAAGTCAGAGCTTGGTTTACAGTCCATAGCTTTTAGCATCTCTCCAGCAATACCAGAATGCTCTGGTAACACATCCTGTATCATTCAAAGTATATTGGATTCAAGATGTTCTGTGTCACGTGGCTCAGTTGTGGAGTATTCCAGATTGGGGCCTGATGTTTCTGTTGGGGAAAACTGCATTATTAGTGGTTCTTACATCATAACAACAGCTGTCCTGCCTGCATATTCCTTTGTGTGTTCCTTAAGCTTGAAGATGAATGGGCACTTAAAATATTCAACTATGGCATTTGGAGTGCAAGACAACTTGAAAAAGAATGTTAAAAAACTGTCAGATATAAAGTCACTTCAATTCTTTGGAGTCTGTTTCCTGTCATGCTTAGATATTTGGAATCTGAAGGTTACAGAGGAACTCTTCTCTGGAAACAAGACATGTTTGAGTTTGTGGAGTGCTCGTATCTTCCCAGTTTGCTCCTCTTTAAGTGATTCAATTACAACAGCCATAAAGATGTTAAATGCTATACAAAACAAGTCAACATTCAGCCTGAAAAACTGTAAGCTGTTGTCCATTGAAGAAATGCTCATTTACAAAGATGTAGAAGACATGATAACCTCCAGGGAGCAAATTTCTCTAGAAATTACTTTAAATAGAAAACTGTCTGATTTAGAGACATCTTAAATATTGTATAATTTGACTTTCTTGATTAAGCAAGATTGCAAATACAAGGGTTATCTGTAGATGTTTGTTTTATCGAAATGTTTAATGAAAATTATATTAACATAATTGCTGCAATATAACATTAATAACAAAAATACAGGTAAACCACGTTTGAAGAAAGAATATTTCCAGGATCTAAGTTCCGAAAAGGGATTTGGGGATGTTGATTCTTTTAATTAAGATGGGTTTATGGAGCATTGTTTCGTTCACATAATACTGTAGTGATTTTAAAGATCCTTTTCTAAACATACCTTTAGAGTTGTGTTTTTATCTTTTGGGTTTCAGTTCCAATAAAGGTCTAAATGCTTGTCAGTTTTCTCCTCAAATGTAGTAATTCTATTCTGAACTAATAAAAATGGCATACTGTAGAGTCCTCAGCACTGGACAATACTGTAGAAGTACATTTTCAGGAACAGATTTATAGCTGACTTTGAGATTAGATTAATGCTTAAAATATTGTAATTATTTTAATTGATGAATGACGAACAGCTCTGAAATTAATGATAAAAATCTGTCTCATTGTTCTTATGAAAATGAAACAAAAAGGGCATATGTATTATTTTGCCCTTGAACATATGTTCAAGTTTATAAGGTTGAACTTGTGTTCAAGGGCAAACTTGAACGTGTATGTATATCTTAAAAATTATTCTGTAAATTTCCATGCATAGGAAAGCATACACACACAAAACTCAATTATCTGTGTGGAAAAGATGGTGAGAATAACTGGGATTTACTGATAATAATATGTTTATTTTGGACATTACTTTCGTCCTCTAGTTAATCCCTTTAACAAAACTGTTCAATTGCCAGATGGACTGGTTTTACTTTCTGTTTCTTGTTTTGTCATGCACTAGTGATGATGTTGAGAGGCAACAAATAGCCAAAGGGTAGACAGCAGAAAGGAGCAAGAAGACTAGGAAGGCAGAAAATATACAGACGACAGCTTCAAGAAAATAAAAACTGGCTTGCGTCCCAAGTTTTCCTATTTTGATAAAAGCACGCGTGCTAAGTGTCTCTATCAAAGTCTAGTATTAGAGAAAAAGAGTTGTGAGAGGTTTGTGTTTTAACATGGGTAAATTGTAATAAGACCTGGTCTGTGCCACTTTTATTTATATATCAAATGTCAGAATGAAAATAATTATTTGATAAACCAGAAGCGACTTGTCTGCAACCTTATTAATGGTATTTGCCTTTTTTTCCCATTTTTCAAGGTTCTTTCCAAGGACAAAATTAATTCATATGGTAGCTCTTGTTTAGCATTTACTGATTGACTTGCACAAATTGCGGAGGATATTATGTGTTTATCATATATTAAATGTTCAATACTGTATTTCACAGTATAATCTAAATCTATATAATCTTTATGTTTCACTGTACAACCTATAGTGTCATCAGTTATTAAGAATCACCATTTTATGTTCCATAAAAAAGAAAAAACACTACCAGTAAAATATGATTCAATACTTTCCTTTGTTACTTGAACTTTTTATATTTATTTATTTGTTGGAGATCTTTTAAGTGCAATTACAGATTTTTATCATTTCACCTGCTTGCATATACATATAAAGGACGAAAATGCAATATTGACTCTTCTGAAACTTTGCATTCAGAGTCAAACTTTTCTGAAGATTTTTCAAGTTGAAAGTTAATTGATATCCAGTGTTAATTGATAATCACCCAGTACCACGTTCTGCGCTGTCACATGTGTTGGTAAAGCTGCATTTCTTAAATGCCCCCACCAGATTACTGTGCATTTTCCTTCAAGCCGTGGGCACCAGATACCTGTTCTGCAAGTTTTTAATGCTATTGGACAAAATGCAGTTTCATTTTTGCCTCAATGTGATCATCAATTAGAAGACTGTCTTTTAGTCAGTGGGAGGTTTCTGAGAAATTGGTGGTCACCATTTTAAACATAATTCTGTACAATTATGCATTATAGTTGCTTCGAAATGTTACCTTTTCCAAGAATATGTCAGTGCCCCTTGCCTTGAAATTCGTGTTGTGTAGTACCATCTATTTATCACCAACAATGCACCTAACTCAGGTGGTAATTCCAACCACATATAAGAAATTGGACATTTTTTTAGATGTATTATTTTGTTTAATAAAATCACGGCCCTTAAATCATACACTCAAGGCTTGTAAAGGATGGCCATTATGCATAACTAAACATATTAACATAAGCTTATTGATGATTTAATAATTAACAGTGACCAAGAGGGGAATGGGAAAAATCCATTATTTGATATCAGTCTTCTACCTTAAGCATACACTCACCAAACTAAGCAAATAACCCATAGACACGGACAACAATGTGGTGAAGGCCAGAGGGAAGAGGTGGCCAAAGAGGGGCAAATGGGAACATCTGTAATAGTGTAAACAAAGAATGTATGAGTATACTAAAATTGATATGAAACTTCAAAAATCCAAGTGAGGTGCTGAAAATCCCAAAATTTTAATATCATGAATCCAGTGTTTCCAGAACCTGTGGTGATCTATTATTCATCTCCTGAGCCTAAGCAGTACTTCCTATGTTACATAAGGATTACCAAAGTCAAAACTTTCCCTGCTGCAAAATGCGTGTATGTAAGGCTATCACAGCTGATAACCAGTGCACTACACAATATCCAGGATGCTGTACGCCGTGATGTCCTCTGGCCCTGAGCAACTCGGACACCCAGAATTTAGGTACCTTGGATACCTTGATACATGTAGTCTCACAGAATTAAAATAGAAAAAGCCAAAAAAAACCTAATTTGCTCAAAATTGTCTGAAATATTTTTAAATTTTTTTTGTCTAGCTACGTGACAGTCTTCATTACACTAAGAACTAAAGTATTGAAGGACCTTTTTAAATTTACTCATACATTTTAAAGTCAATGCAAGAGAAATAATTGAAGCAACCATTATTTGTTTAATATTTTGTACCTCTAAAATTTTGTTTAGACAAAGCCAATTTCTATATATAGAGGTTGAGAACAACTTTTATTGTTTATACTTAGAAAAATGGCATTAATATTCCTTGTATTGATTTTTGTCAGAGGTTATTGCACATTCTCCTTCCCTCTAATATCAATGTGCTAAGTTGTATATAACATACTAGTGTTCACATTTCTATTCACTTATATTCACATAAATTTCTGATTAGTTTTTTAATATATCATGAGGAGCAAATTATACCAGTATCTGGTGGAAAAGGATCAGTTCCTGTCCTTGACAGAGCTAACTACATGAGTCACAACAAATTAGCCACATCTTGCCAGTTTGTCTATAGTAGAACACAATTTGGAGTCAGGTTAAAAATTAGAATAAAGGAATGAGAAGCTGATGATTTTCTACTGCATTGATATTTGCAAGAGGAGAAGGAGGAGGAGGACTGTGAATTAGTCACCATTATCATGCACCTATAAGGCAATTTTTGATTATTGACATTCACGTCTAAAGATATTCATCCTGAGGGCACTATTGCACATACAAGTAAATGATTGAAACTAACAGACTTAATGTTTCCTTCTGGGCTGGTTGGACAAATAGTCTATCTTTTGCAGCCTCTGGCTGAAGGAGTCTAGTAGCCTTCCAAAGCATAAAATTCAACCATTCAAACAGCACTTTATCTCTGATTGCTGCAGACTGGTGCAATCCATCTGCTGTCATTTCCCAGCTCTCTGGGCCAGAATTATATTCCTTCAATTGTGCTTCAATGCATCACTGAAACAACCTAAACTCTAATGTCTATATTCTTTGGGCACTGTTCTATAGTGTGTTACTCAGATCATCTTGTTCAATCTCCAGTCCTTAAAGGCTCTTAAAATCTGTGCTACAACCACACTGTGGCTAAGTAATATAAATGATTTTTTAAAATTTTTTCCTTCACTAGTAACTATTCTTTTCTCCCTGCAGAACATTCAGATGGTTTAAGTTAGTTTTCATTATAAGAGAGTATCACATTGCCCAGAAAAGAATTAAAGCATTTACATCTTGAGGCATTTTTGTTTTAAAAACACAACTCTGGAACGCAAGTAAGTATTCCTTTCATTTGCAGGTTGTGAAATGTTGCACTACTAAATGAAGTTTTACATGATTGGTTTCCTTTCTATTACTTTTAGCCCTTGGGTTTGAGAATGTAAATTACATTCACCAATATGCTGTTCTGAGAAGTTTTAAACATTTTTAATGAAATCTAGAACTAGAAAACTTTGACTATATGAAGAAATAATTATGATCATAACAAGTGGCCCAAGTACAGTTTTTAAATGTACAGGCGCATTGACAAGGTCATAAATTAACTTCTAAAATTCACTCCTTATATATCACTGGAGTCAATTTTTAATGAAATTTGGTAAGAGAGATCATCACTCATAATTGCTTAAACTTGATACTTTCTAATTAACCATTATCCAGTCAAATCAAAGGCCATGATTGGAAGTTAGCCTATGAGAAGAAAGGTAGAAAGTATAATGCTTTAGAGAAAGCCTTTTTTACTTATTACAACTACAGCTGTTTAAATGCAAAAGAAATATATGCTGTAAGTTTTCCAGAGAAGGAGCAATTTACAAAATTATCCATGTTTCTAGTATCTGCAATCTATCTCTATATCTCTATAGACTACAAACATGCTGTTAATTTCCCAAAAGATTAAAAAATACGAGAAAAGCAAAACTTCTTTTAGCCATATTATATCATCAGGATACAGTCTCTTTTATTTTCATTTGCAATGCTTTTGAGGTTTTCTTTATCATATATTAGCCACCGTAATGGATTCAACACTGAATTCTAGCATTATATATATATACATATATATGTGTGTGTGTGTGTGTACACACATATATATACACATATATACCTGCCTGCTTCATACCTCTTTCTAACTGAAAAAAATTCAATAGGCATTTCTATTTAGATAGCTCTTATCTTCTCCTTATCAATCCTAATGATCTTTTCATCTACATAAATATCCAAATCATTCACCAAATTGTTCAAGGCAAACACCTAGAAGTCATTCATGAAGCCTCACGTATATTTCCATTATCTTTTTCATTCAGTTCTTCAAGTCAGTGTTGTTTGCACATTGAAACATAACCAAAATCCTTCCACTTCTCTCAACCCTGTTCAATATGCCATTTACTGTTATCTAAGAACACCCTTTTATGTGCGGTCGCAATGAATTACCATGCATATTACAAATGCATGAAAGTGAATTTGCAGAGAGACTGCAAAGGAAATATATGTTCACAGATTGGCATTGAGTTTTACTGAGCTTTGAAGGGAAAAAGGAATATTGTGGCCCTCTCAACCTTGTTTCACTGACTTGGTCTCTATATCCTGTAGTGCTTCCCTAATACTTTGGGGATGATGATTCATACTCCTTTCTAACATGCTACACTTCGTTCTCTGTGAACTTTTGCTTGGTGATAGTCTGCAGTCACTTCACCTGTCCCTTCACACATGTTTTTTTGTGTTTTTTTAACCTATTTTATATTTAGTGTATATAAGCAGATGTCAGCTGGAATTTTGCTTCCCGTTTAGATATAGACAACATTAGCTCAACCTCTATTCTAAGCCCCACTCGCGTTCAGAATGTCTTCCAGATATCTGTGAATTCCTGGACAGCATATAATGTTTGCACTTCCATTCTCCAGTGCCTTTTCTCGTATCTGCCCTATAACCTGAATCAATCAGACTTTTAGCTCCCAGCCCCACTCCACTGAACTTGTTCTTCTGAGGATTCCCAGTGCTCTCCATTTTGACAAACCCAGTACTGTTTCTTGTTTTCATCTTTCAGTAGCATTTGTTTCAGTTGATCACTCCTTCTTTGAAGTATGTTCTCTGTTTAGCTTCAGTAGAGCCCACACTACTAGTTTTTTTCCTAACTCATTTGTCAGTCTTTTCAAGTCTCCTTTACTTGTTCCTCATCATCATTCTTCCTTCATATTGTTGGAAGGTCACAGATCTTTGGGCTTCACTTTCTCTATTCATATTCACTCCTTTGGGATGTCATATGTTCTCATACATCAGTGTGGTATCAACTCTCAAATCTGTATTTCTAATTACCAAAGTATTTTTCTCATATTAAATATATTTATCTCTCATAAATTGTGAGTGTGCATCAAAATGTCATTTAATTCATTAATGATGAAATCAGTAGGGTGATGAAGTTGGCTTTATCTAGTTTCACATGTTACAAGGAAGAAAATGTTTATTAGTAATAGGAATAAATTTGCCCAATAATAGAGTGGGTTGCCTTATGAGATAATAAAGTTTCATGACACCGAAAGTGTTTGTGCAAAGTGACTGGAAGACACTGAAAGATTTACCATGAGTCTTCTCAAAAATTTCTTGTTTTAGGTAAGAGGTAGGGTTAGATAATGACTACAGGTTAAATTTCCTGGAAAGTAGAATCTGAGATGGAGTTTGAAGTGCATAATATTTCTTAAGGAGTGCCCTGGGACTAATAATTGTGCAAG